TGGCATTTGTTATGATCGAGTACATTTTTTATTGTCTGACACAATCCTGATATAAAGTTCAGATTCTAGAGGTCCCATGTTCATGACATTGCAATGAAAAGGGAGTGGGTTAGCAAAAGTTCAGAACTTTAAGATTTGTTTCTTGGGAGAAAGGTGTTCTCCTAGATTGTGTTCCCCAGTAAATTGCCATGTCCGCGCAATATATGTGGTATTGGAGAAGTAAAGGAAAAAGGTCGCCTAGAATTAAGCAGAATTCAAACTCAGTCATAGACACTATTGAGTTTGCCTGTGTTGGCACTCCGACTGAAGAGTTTCCATGGGTATATATACAATGGTTGTTTGAATATCTACTTTCATTTTTCCAGGATCAAGTTGAGGTGCTTTCTGAAGTTTATTTGGCAAATGAACACCGGTGCTTGTTTGAGGTATGAATTCATTTACCCAATCAGTTTTTGAATTCATACTTGATGATATGTTAAAAGAATAGTTAAAAATAATGCTGCAAATATTTGAAATTGACCGTAACAATGTAACTATGCTTTTCTAGAGAAAAGATGCGGATTTGCCAATCTTGGCTGAAAATGAGATGGAAGAAGAAGGAAGACAAGTTCTTGGTGATGTTTTAGAGCATGCTCACTATTTTGAACAAGCGAATGTTGGTCTTGGAAGGGAGGAGACCTTTAGAGTATTCCTTGCAACCAAACAGCTATCGGATGCTTATTCATTTGAAGTGTGCCGATTTTGGGGTGAGTCTCTACCATCATGAGTGTCCGAATTAAAGGAGATCGTTTACGCTCAAATTGAACTGATAGGCCGATTTGGTTGTCTTCAAAAGTCGACATGAAACAAATTTGTCAGTGATTCCTAAAACATAAGAACAAATGTTTTTGTAATTAATCCCCCTTTGATAGTTGGTCTTCTTTGTTTTCAACTAAGAATTAACTATGACCAGCCATTTTTCAGGTAAAATATTTGGCATTGAAGGAAACTATTATGTTGCTGAAGCTCAATTTAGAGAAGGAGAGGACCCATATGTCGATGAAGACGACACATCATCACAGCAGGTAAGATGATCTAATTGAAGCAGAAACTAGATTGTTCGATGTTTTACCTAAACGTAAACATGTAGAACTTAGTTCATTTGACTTGTTCAAGCATTATGACTTGTTTATTGCTTTTTATAGACCTTGAGTATAGACTAGTAGGTGAGTTTAAAACAAAAAAGTTACCGCTAAACCAATTATCTTTAAATTGACTGACAGCTCTTTCTCATCCTGTTATAAACTTCTCATTCTAGGAAGCAACTGAAGCTAAAGAAACCTTGCTTCTTGCAGGTAATAACAATGTTTTAGCTACGTTTGCAATGTTTTTTTGTGAAGAAACACATAAGATTGTATCGTTAGTTTTTGCAGATTTTTTGCAAGTCATTTATGACTCGTTCATAAATTTTTTTGTACAAAAAGAACAGGAAGAACAGCTTTACAAACCTCCCCCCCCCCCCGCAGTGCTCCAAACCTAAATTGGTTTTGGTTAAGCTGTAAAGACTTGCTTAAAAGGTACAGTAGGCAGACTTCCAACTGATGTTTCAACTGAAAGTGGCAACAATGCAGACAGTTTTCTGTTAAAGCTTATTGTGACGGGGAAAAGCAAACGACACCTCCTTTCTTGGCCTAGTTTTATGCGACACGATATTTACGATGGTCACGATATGTGTCTGCTGGTAGGAGAGGAAAGACACTCTTCTTTATATTCTTTTTTCTCATCTTCATGTCAAGGGTTCCACTTTTCTCGTTTGGTCTTTAAAGTCGCTCTTTTTGCTTGCGCTTTGGAAATTTGTCTGCTCCCTCTTTTGTATTACCGCTTGCTATTTGTCTTTCGCCACGAGCCATTTCAATTTGACTAAAATCTTCGTTTGCAGGTCCTTATTGCACCGACTGTTTTCATCCCTCGCTTCCTGTACTTAAACAAAAGCCGTATTTGATGTGTTAACAACCGCACTTTGAGCATCCCATTATTTTTCCTTATTTGTTTATTTTCTTCATTTTTTACTTATGCGTTTCACAAAGGCAGTTTTATTGTTCTCCAGCTTCCGAGTGACCTTGCTCTTTCCTGTTACAGTGACTTCTTCCTGCCGCAGTGACTTCTTCCTGCCGCAGTGACTTCTTCCTGCCGCAGTGACTTCTTCCTGCCGCAGTGACTTCTTCCTGCCGCAGTGACTAATTCCTGCCGCAGTGACTTCTTCCTGCCGCATTTCTTTATGTAGTCTTCAAGCATATAATGGCAGTATTGTGCAACCTTTTCTTCTCCTGGTATAATTTTTCTGTAAAACCACTTTATTTTATCTTTTTCTCTCAACTATTTTTTTATTATTATTATCATTATTATTATTATTAACAATTTCTTTAACGTTGGCAAGAAAGAACAAAAAAATACATATAGCTAATAAGCTAATCATTCGGTCTGTGTTCATTGCTCTTAATAGATAGGTTGTTAAATTTTGTTCTTTCTCTGTCTTTAAATGGGTTGTAAAGTAAATTCTAAGCTAACGCAGCTTTTCCGTTAGTTCCTGTTTCCAAATTCTGGACCCCGAAGGCTTCGCCGTCGGTACAGTGGGGCATTGTGACAAACTTTTTGAGAAAAAATCCGTTGCAGAAACGGAGATGTTTTTGCCATGTATGGGTGCTCCGTCGGCTCACCCACTTTGTCGAAAAACAGACCTGAACACCACAATAGCAAGCGACATCCCTGCTCTTAGCGAGTTTCAGTTAATCGAGTTCCATCTGTGAATTCTTGAGCAATTAAGATCTCATCGGTCCTACTTTTTGAATTTCTAAAAACACGGTTTTCGAATTACTTGGAGGTATTGTCTCTGGAGGGTATGCATAAGCTATAGGAAGCACCCTTCACTCGTTTGCCCGGGTCCATATGAATAGCTATATTCTGTAGCAAGCAAAACATTCAAAGAAACCTCGCTAGTATTTCTTCTCGCTGCTATAAATTCGCTAAATTCAAAACACAAATCAAACAAATCAAATATGAACTTAACAAACAAGCGTAGCAAAACAAAGAAAAAGAACGTAAAAACGAAGTAAATTATAATAAAAATAATAAAGTAAGTTGCTGTCTATTAGTATTCCAAAAGGCAAAAACAAACCCGTTCACCATGCTTGGCATGTAAGTGAATCAAAGGACAAAGAACTTTTCCAAACAGAAAATTGTCGAAATTTCCTTTATAATGTAGACATTGTTCACCACGAATTTGAAAGCCTAAGTAACGTAAGTAAGTAAGTAAGTAACCGTTTTATTTGCTTCTTGCAGAAGAACAGCAGTCAGAATTTGACGACATCCCTAAAGTAGATTACAAGCCACCGATTCCGATTCCCAAAGAAGAAATTGGAACTGGTTGCAACGCTAAAGTATATTTTGTTTGCAACGAACGTAAGTGATTTTCATACATGTTTATGATGGTTCTAAAGCATGCTTAATAAAACTGAATTTGGAACAATCAGAATCTTTATTTTGTCTGCATTCCTATGATTTTTTCTTCTGGTTCCCTAATTTATGTTCGAAAATGGCTTTGAAAAAAGCAAACATTTTACAACATACTTAAAGCTTTTTCGTCTGACACTCCTCAGAGCATAAAACGTCAGAATAGGTTCCGAAAAAACACGTTTGAAAAATATATACCCAGTTGTGGATCGAAACAGGCCAATCAGAAAAACGCAAGCACAAGACCGGTATAGTTGACCAATCAGTGCCGCGAGCCTAAAGAAAAATTACCAATGGAGTCCAAGAGAGAAAACTAACTCCTTTTGTCTACACAATGGCGGCTTTTTCGTTTTTATGTAGATTGACTCCAAAACTGCTAGATGGAAGGACGACCGGGCTCTGCCAATTATCCGAAACATGTCGTCATTATAGAGTTTTGCACAATCTGGGTTGTCTAAAAGATGTTGACCAATGGCAGAATCACTTGTTTTAACAGTGTTTCTAGACCTACAAGATCGAGGAGGCTGTTCTCTTTGAGGGGCAGTTTTGTTACGTATGTTGGAAGGAACATGCTGTTTTATCCTATCCCCCAATCTTTGGGTTGTGCGCCCTACGTAGCCAGAATCACACTGGCACGTAAATTCATAAATGACGGAACTTTTTTGTTTGGTAGGGACGCAATCCTTTTGAATGGATGGAAGGGCTCTCCTAGTGCTGTAAACAATCCGAGGATTGACAGCAAAGAAACAATTGGTTATGGCTTGCCTAATTTGACTGAGAGTCAAATTAGGCAAGCCATAACCAATTGTTTCTTTGCTGTCAATCCTCGGATTGTTTACAGCACTAGGAGAGCCCTTCCATCCATTCAAAAGGATTGCGTCCCTACCAAACAAAAAAAAGTTCCGTCATTTATGAATTTACGTGCCAGTGTGATTCTGGCTACGTAGGGCGCACAACCCAAAGATTGGGGGATAGGATAAAACAGCATGTTCCTTCCAACATACGAAACAAAACTGCCCCTCAAAGAGAACAGCCCCCTCGATCTTGTAGGTCTAGAAACACTGTTAAAACAAGTGATTCTGCCATTGGTCAACATCTTTTAGACAACCCAGATTGTGCAAAACTCTATAATGACGACATGTTTCGGATAATTGGCAGAGCCGGGTCGTCCTTCCATCTAGCAGTTTTGGAGTCCATCTACATAAAAACGAAAAAGCCGCCATTGTGTAGACAAAAGGAGTTCGTTTTCTCTCTTGGACTCCATTGGTAATTTTTCTTTAGGCTCGCGGCACTGATTGGTCAACTATACCGGTCTTGTGCTTGCGTTTTTCTGATTGGCCTATTTTGATCCACAACTGGGTATATATTTTTCCATCGTGTTTTTCGGAACCTATTCTGACGTTTTATGCTCTGAGGAGTGTCAGACGAAAAAGCTTTAAGTATGTTGTAAAATGTTTGCTTTTTTCAAAGCCATTTTCAAATTCTGTACCGCAAAAAGATATGCATTATCAAAAGTACCTATTTTATGCTATTTTATATAGTTTCATTTCATCCAAATTATTAACGTGATATTCAGAGTATTCAAAAGTAACCCCGAAGAATTCAAAAAGTAAAGAACTAATTTTCCGAAATCTTTTTAAAATTTTCAGAATATTCTGGCTTGAAAGCGTGACAAACCTTAAATAGTTTTGCTGGCAGAATCAAACAACCTGAACTGGTTCAAAATTCAGAAGAACTTTTTCTAGAAGAAGAATTTTTATGGAGAAAGAATTTTTAACATATATAATTTTGATCAAGAGTTACTAAAACTTATATACAATCATTTTTGTTAGTTGTTGATGCGCCTCTACCTTCCATTTATAGAGCAATATAGAACAAAGTGTTCCATTAGTAAAGGAGAGAAAATAGAATATATCACATTATTCTATGTATTACAATCATTTTTAGATTGTTGCTGCTGGTGATTTCTGTACGTAACTGTAAATAGAGTAATACTTCGTCTGCCATATAAAATGTTTGCAAACTTTTTTGTGGAGCTTTTTAAGCTATGATCTGCATTTCATTCTTTGGAAATTTGGCAAACAGATGTATAAGTCTGAATGCATCATAGAGCATCGATGCAAATATATTAACATAGAAATGAATTGATTATTTGCCAGTTGAACAAAAAAACAGAACAGTATCCCTAAGTTTCTTGATGTTTTGATGACATTAAAGAGAGAAATGTGCGCAAATTTTTCAAAATTAATGCAAAGAACGAAAGAAATGAGACTTATTTGATATATGTTCTGACGATTTTTACTCTGAAGAGTGTTAAACGAAAAGCTTTAGTATGTTTCATAATGTTTGCTTTTTTCAAAGCCACTTCATCATGCCATTAAAGACTCTTCAAAGAACATACATACGGAATGATCATTATATAACATGAAATCTACCAATCAGTGGCATAGCGTCCGGGTATTCAAGGTATTCAGTGAATACCCTGAGATTTCTGGGAAAAAATATCAATACGACGTATAATTATGATAAATAAAAAATGCTTTAGGGCTACTTTATTCTGGTTGATTTCGTTACCTTTGATGTTCTACATTTTCTCCAAGTACAAAATATCACGAAATGCATGGGAACCATAACGCTGCGAAGCAGAGAGAAGCTGAGAGATCTTTGAAGCTAATTTTGAAGATTGAGCTACTTTATGTTGAATGGAGATCGGTCAGGAATACGCAGTGAATACCCTAGAAGGTATTTTAACCAATCAAAATGCTCCTTTCCATGAATAATATTTGCTCTTAATCAGCTAAAACAATGGTCATGTACGCTGAGAAATATGCAGCGTACAGCCTCAAAGTTGGTTCAAAATAGTCTCGTTTTGAGATCGATATAAACAGTTAATGGACGTCGGAGCTGTTGGGGTGATGCAGTTTCATTGAAAACAGTAAATATGACTTAATTCAAAGCTCTTGCAATGTCCGTATTACTGTTTCGTAATCATTCTCTCATTTGACCCCTTATCTTCATTTACCCCTTATTGAGGCGGGCTACCGTTTCTGCGAATCTGGTCGCGCGATCGCGCGACTGTTGTTCTAGACGTGCGCAACTAACCCAGTAGCAGTGATTCCCCATTGCCCTGGCGATCGCGCAACTGCTTTTGGGAGTTGGATAGATTTTAACTTTTCTCTGACCAGATTCTCACGAACCAATAAGATGCTTTATTTTTCTTGTCTGGTTTACGTCGTAAAATGCCTTATCACCCTGTCTTGTTTTCTTTGGCGCTTATCCAAAAAATCAACACTACGCTCTTCTACGCTGAGAATCTCGTTTAAACGATGGTAAAAATAACAATTAGGCCAGAAGTCATGTCGATTTTACGCCAGTTTCAGCAAAGTCAATCCCTTACAATAAATCTTGCGTTTGAAAATAGAAGCACGGGCAATACGGAATCGCAGACGGAATGGTCTGCAGAATTATTTATTGAGGAACTTAAATCCTGGTTTCCATATAGCCTTAAGGCTGCCTGCGACTGCCTGCGACTGCTTTCTGCCATCTTCCATCTTCCACCCTTACAGTAGCGCCGGCAAATAGAAATGTTCTGTTTTCAATTGCGTGCAGGATCGGTAACTATGCCGGTAACTTGGTAAAGTTTGAGTGGGAAAAACTGGCGGGCAAAATTCAACAACAAAGCCCTGTTTCAATTGGTTCTTGCACATCACATGATCCGTTTGAACAGAAGAATGCCGCAGGCAGCCGCAGGCAAGGCGTTTCCATTTGTAATTTGTTTGCCGGCGGTACCGGGAGGCTGCCGTAAGAGCCGGGAAAAGTTGAACTCGTTCAACCTTTTCCCGGCTCTCCCGCCAGTCTTACGGCACTTCAAACAGCTGCCTGCGGTACCGTTAGAAAGCGTTTCCATAAAGAATTATCTGCCGGCGATACCGTAGGGATGGAAGATGGAAGATGGCAGAAAGCAGTGGCAGGCAGCCTTACGGCTATATGGAAACCAGGCTTAAACAATATCGAGGTTTATGGGATACCTCATGCCGATCTTATAAAGATGGCCCTAAAAAGCAGCAATCTTGGCGGGAACTGAATCAGAAATTTAAAAAAGAGGGTAATTTTTGTTTGATTTTTACCTTCAATTTTAATGACGTGTTTAGGCCTACTCTACACAATGTAAAATCGTACTTCCTTGTGCATTTCATCAGTTTTTACAGACTTTTGACTCTCTTTCTTTGTCATCGTTTGTATTTCGTTTTCAATGTGTGTTTCTGGCTCATTCACGTTTATTATTAACGATAATGTGACAAAAAATACTTTGCAGCATGGTATACCATATGTAAATATACCGTAAAAGCTCTAAGTCAGGGGAGCTCATATTCTTTTTAGTTCCAAAGTGGATGCTTAAAAGAGAGGGGGGCTTATTTGAAATTTTTGCATGATAAGAGGGTCTTAATAGAGCTTTAACTGTATGTATGATGTGGTATACAAATATTCATATAAATATAATTTTAAAAACATTGTTAAGTAATACATTCCAACTAGACTCTTAGGTATTTTTGTCACTAAAAGATCGAAAACGTTGATATTGAGTTTTATGGATTTGCATTTTCGAATTCTGATTAATTTGGAATTCTGATTTTCCAGAGGACACCTTAAAGAAAGTTTGGAAAAATCTAGAGGATGGCTTCACAAAGTGCATCAAAAAAAGGTAATTGATGACACGTTCTGCAGCCGGAAAACTACCAAAATGTAAAATGTTTGATCAGATGACTTTCATAAAAGATTCTGTCACAAACAGGCCAACTTCTAGCAACCTCAATATTGAAGATTCCTCTGATGTGATTCTTCCTGAGAGTCCTGCCAGCATTACACCCACCCAAGTAGGAGGTAGTAGACCCAAATCAAACTCCGGAAAAAGGAAATTGGAAAAACGTTCTATCGACTCCAATAATGCCATGCTAATTAAAGC